ATAGAGCCAAAATATTTGGATGCAGTCACAAAAAATACCTTGTATAATTTATTTTTTAAATATTTTATACCTGATATTATTAATTCTAAATATGCTTTTCATAGTCCCAGTTTCTGTGATGTTACTTTTTTAATAATTAGGTCTTTATTTTTGGAAAAACCCTTTTTTTTTTTGTTTTTTTTTCTTTTTATTTTTTTCCGCCGTGTGATTTTGAGTTTCAAGATTTTCAAAAGTTTTTTGTCACAAAAATTCTCCTAAAAGATTTTTAGCAGTTGACCCTGCGTATATGAGTTTGACCCCTTTCGGAGTTACGCCCCCCTTCGAATAAAAGCTTGTTATCGCTACTCCTCCGAAACCGTAAACCGCAAAATCCAAACCTTTATTAATGTGTACGACTGATTTAAAAGCTCTTCAATCAAACATTGCAAAAGGTTTTGGAAACCCTATAATGAATTATTCCCCCTAATGTTTGCGATTTTTACGTAAAAACTTTTCTAAAACGACAAATCGTAGAGACAGGGGGCCAACTGCAAAAGATTTCTTGACCTTACTTTAAAATCTAGGTCAAGGTCAAAGGTCAAGGTCATTCAAAATATGTAAAATTAAGCATTTTTTATAGCTCTTTTGTTCTTAGCCAAATTCTAAACTTCTTTTTTTTAGTATGTATTTAAAACCATTTCAGAGATTCCATGCTTGCCCCTTAAGATTGAACCCTATAAAAGTTAGTGCCCCTTTCATTGTAAACCCTTGTTATCGCTACTCCTCCGAAACCGTAAACCGTAGGGGTATAAAACCTTCAACAATGTCTCGACTAATTAAGTACACTTCTCATTCTATAAATCGAAAGAATTCGTAAACTTTTAAAGTAGTTATTGCCCCTGGCAGTTTTTTAAAAGCTAAAAAAATTTTTAAAACAAGTCGTAAGGACATGGGGGCCACCATAATTTCTGACCTTTGACCTTGAAAAAGGTCAAGGTAAAGGTAAGGTCATTTGGGAAAGTATCGAAATTGCTTATTTACGGGCTTTTTTTTAAATGACCTTGACCTTTACCTTTATATTTGACCTTTGACCTTGACCTTTCTCAAAAGTTTAAAAAAAATATATTCATTTTCTTTACCTAGATTAGTTAGCTTCAAGTGTAAAAATAATTTATAAAAGTGTTGTTTGTTTGGGTTTTTTTTTTTTTTTTTTGCATGACCTTGACCTTTGACCTTGATGAATGACCTTGACCTTTGGCCCATAGGTCACATTCAAGCTTAAATATTTGGAGGACTTTTAAAATTTCACGTCAACAAATACTTATATAATCCCCCCCCCCCTCCCCCTTTTCTAAAAAAAAAAATAAAAGCGGCATAGAAATTTTTTCTACAACTCAAAGGAAATAAAAAATAAGATAAAATTCAGTTCAGCATGTAGAAGACACCTCAAAAAATCTTGAGAGTTTTCGGGAGTCTCTTAAGACAATTAAAATTTAGTGAATATCGGCGAAATCTAACTTTAACTTTACCCATAATTTTTGAGTGGGTGGGGCTACAGCTTTCATATTTCACAGGTGTATTAAATTCCTTGTGACAAGACCTTTCTTTGGGTACCACCAAGTTTGACCTATTGACCTTTGAGTTTGACCTAATTTTTCAAAAAAATACCACATTTTAACATTGGCCATAACTTTTGACAATTTGGAGCTAGGGCTTTCAAACTTCATATGTGTATTCATTGTGACAAAACCTTTCAGTTGGTATAAAAATTTTTTGACCTGTTGACCTTTACTTTAAAGTTTGACCAACTTTTTAAAAACTTTAACTGTCACCATAACAGTTAAAACTAGGGCTATTATATTTCACAGTTGTATTCTTTGTAACAATACCTTCCTTTGGGTTCCTACATTTTTTTACCTTGACCTTTGAAATTTGATGTGCATTTGAGAAAATTCAACCCTCGCCATCAGTTGCCATATAGGGGGCTTCAGTGTTTCACAAACTCATCTTGTTTTTTTTTTTGCCTTTGACTCTTCAAGAATTTTGCACTTATAACAGGATTACACAAATTGCAGGTAGAGCTAGAGCTGCAAAATAATCTGTACTCCACTTATAGCTATGGATCAATTAGGGAATCATTTTTGAGTTCCACAGTCTATTCAATCTTTATTCATTATAAAAACCTTTCTTTTTATCCCATGTTCCACAGTGGATTTGAAATCTGTTATGAAATGATCAAATCCTTACCTCTTCAGTGTAAATATTATTGACCATTTATTGCTTGAACCAAGAAATTACCCATGGTAATCATCTCTCTAATAAAAAGTTTATATTGTTTGAACTATTCAAAACATTTTCGAATTTCTGTCATAAAAACAGTATTCTGTAACACATTATAATGCAGGACCCTTTATTTTATTGTCTCTTATTACATACAACTTCCCTTCTTGTTCTTGGTCAAATAAGTATCACAGACACATCCAGGAAAGTACTGACTTGATCATCATGGTTTATATCATTTCACATTTATAAACAACGTGAAATTGCATCGTCTCTATAGTTTCCCTAGAAATCAGCAATTTAACTTTCAGGATCCTTCAACTTTGAAGTGCTTCAACAACTGATAATACTTTGATCTGAAAGAATAAGCTTAGTATAATCAAACTTCTTTATGTATTTATACCAAGTTAAAGCAACTTCCCTTTTGAATTTATTAGAAATGAACTCAGAACCTTACTAGTGCTAGTTATATCAAGTGATATATCTTCTTAACCTTAAATTTGATTAATTTTCAAAGGAAAACATTGGCATTTTCTTAATCAATTATTCAATAAATTACAGATCTACCTGACAGTGTTGTCCCTGCCTACCCCCCTGAAGGACTCGTTTTCAATCAGACAGTGCTGTAGTTGAGGGCCAATTTGTGATATGTAGGGGCCACAGCTAGGGGGAAGTTTTTGTAATGTGCTGAATATAGCTTCCAGGTGGCCCTTCTTTTGGTCATTGATAAATTTGGACAAGATGGCACATATGTTGGATCTGCAAAAGGGATTAAGAGGAATTAAGACAAGAGGTTCATCAGCCATAATGTTCACCTGAGTAACATGAGCCCTGCTGTTTTTCAAAAGATTTCTTATCTCCACAAAAAACTGTAACCCTTTTTTCATTGCCCCAGTCAAAATCTACTGGTCTCTGAATCCATACATTATATTGATATATTGATATTATTATGTTACCCACACATATTTCATTCATTTCTTTGTTGCTCTATTAAGAAAATTTGAAAACTAGTGTCTTCTGTGTTATTCATTGTTTATTTATCAATATATAAGAAAGATTTCAATTAACAATTTTCTTACTAGTGGTACTATAAGTGAGCTAAAAAAATAATACCCTCAGCTGCAATTTTCAAAGTTCTCATTCTGAATAAGAACTTGTGACCTTGATCTACCTTAAAATTTGACCTACCTTACGCTTGCAAAATGACCTTTTATTCTTTTTTTTTTTTGAAAAAAAAAAACAAAACAAGAAATATGTGAGCGAATGCTCACTAGTAATACCCCCACTCCGATGTATACACAATATACACAAGTTCAAGTACAGGCAGATACATATAAAACGTTGTAAAACGTTCGTACTAATATTCTTGCAATGAATTGCGATAATTTTGATCTCATTTGGTCGCGTCTGAATAGTGTGCATGTTGACTATTTTGAGGAGACTTGATGGGACCTCTAAAACACAGGCAATGAGTGCGAGACATCGTACAACGTATGCGAGAGCTCGTACGAAGCTAAAATTTTCCGATCGCAAAGTGTTGTATAGTGCTCGTGCGCCAATTGTGAAAGGGCCTTTATGAAGGACACAGGTCTTTTTCCTATAGTAATCCTGTCACTGTTATATACAATACCTGAGTTTGGTAGGATCATTCTCCTTATGAAGTACACAGATCTTGTTTCCTATAGTAATCCTGTAGCTGTTTTATATTATACCTGATTTTGGTAGGATCATTCTTCTTATGAAGTACACAGGTCTTGTGTCCTATCATAATCCTGTAGCTGTTTTATACAATACCTGAGTTTGGTAGGATCATTCTTCTTATGAAGTACACAGATCTTGTTTCCTATCATAATCCTGTAGCTGTTTTATACAATACCTGAGTTTGGTAGGATCATTCTTCTTATGAAGTACACAGGTCTTGTTTCCTATAGTAATCCTGTAACTGTTTAATACAATACCTGAGTTTGGTAGGATCATTCTCCTTATGAAGTACACAGATCTTGTTTCCTATAGTAATCCTGTAGCTGTTTTATATTATACCTGATTTTGGTAGGATCATTCTTCTTATGAAGTTCACAGGTCTTGTGTCCTATCATAATCCTGTAGCTGTTTTATACAATACCTGAGTTTGGTAGGATCATTCTTCATATGAAGTACACAGATCTTGTTTCCTATCATAATCCTGTAGCTGTTTAATACAATACCTGAGTTTGGTAGGATCATTCTCCTTATAAAGTACACAGGTTTTGTTTCCTATTGTTATCCTGTAGCTGCTTACTTGGTCCTTCATGTAAGTAGTGAAGCTGGCTCCATCAAACGAAATTAACAAACCTCCATCACTTAGTCTGTAAACAAATTTAAGTATTGTAAATCAATTTTTATTTGTGTGCGAGAAATTTTCGCTAGGTTTGCGAGAGCCTCATTATTACGAATTTTTCTCACCATGAACTGGACCTTAAAGTCTCTTTGTCTATTAACAATAGATAAAAAAAAAAACTTGATTGCAAAAATTTATCGTCGATAACTAGTTTACCCACAGTTAATTGCAATATAAAGTTGCTGCGAGTTAAAATTGGTTTACATTATTAATTCTACAATTGAAAGTTTCTGTAACTTTCATATTTTTTTCCCTTAAATACAGATTCTTTATCATTTATTTCAATGCTTGAGATATCACACATTTACAATCTGAATAATCAAACTGCTCTCTTGAAATCACCTGTGTGCCTCCACTTTCCAGCATGGAGTCATTCATACAAATAAATTAGTTGTTTGGGCCTGTCTTCACCACCTAGAAAAAACACAACAAAAATTGTATTCACAAGTATTTAGTAACAAGAGGCCCATGGGCCACATCGCTCACCTGAGAAGCTTTGACCATGCTGTTCTTTAGTAGATTTGCCCTTTGTAAAAAATTTTGTGACCCCAACCTACCCCACTGATCATAATGTACTCAATTTGAAATCTACACTCTCCCAGAACGCTTCCATTTAAGTTTCAGCTTTTCCGGCCCAGTGGATCTTGAGAAGAAGATTTTTAAAGATTTTTCCTATATATTTCTATGTAAAACCTTGATTCCCCTGTGGCCCCGCCCTACACCTCGGGGGTCCTGATTTGAGCTATTTATATAGATTCTACACTATCCCAGAATGCTTCCGCATAAGTTTCAGCTTTTCTGGCCCAGTGGTTCTTGAGAAGAAGATTTTTAAAGATTTTTCCTACATAGTTCTGTGTAAAAATTGATTCTCCATTGTGACCCTACCCCGGGGGTCATAATTTGAACAATTTAGAATCTACACTACCCCAGGATGATTTCACATAAGTTCCAGTTTTTCAGGCCCAGTGGTTCTTGAGAAGAAGATTTTTAAATGACCCCACCCTATTTTTGTTTTTTTTTTATTATCTCCCCTTGTGAGGGGACTTGGCCCAATGGCATCATTTTAACCATTTATATTCCCTTCACCCATGGATGCTTTGTACCAAGTTTGGTCAAAATTGGCCCAGTGGTTCTTGAGAAGTCTAAAATGTGCGAAGTTTACAGACAGACGGACAGCTAGACAGACGGATGGATAGACTACAAAATGCGATTAGAAAGCTCACTTGAGCTTCCGCTCAGGTGAGCTAAAAAAAAGTTGTCAAAAGCATTATTTTTCACACTTACTGAACAGTGTTGAATTCTGATCAGAATTTATTTGATGTACAATTTATTTTCTATTGTACAGTATTCAAATTGATAAAAGTACAACCTAACATTCACAAAGAACTTTATTTGGTAATAACCAATATTTGCCCCCCAAATCAAACTTTGATGGAGATATATTTAATTAAGTTCTTAAACAGGGGAGAATATGCTGACTTCAAAGCACTGAATTTTGAATATTTTCATAATTAATGACGCCATATGTACATAATGACGTCACAAACATGACATAAATTTCATTTTTTTAATGAATTTTACAGAAAAATGTACATATTTTGTCGATATTTTGAGTAAAAGTCACCAAGCGCATGTGTGTTCAGGATCAATATTTTAATATTATAATAATGTGTGTAATGATAATATCAATGAAATATGTCAATATTGTTCCTGAACAAACATGCCCTCTATAAATTTTAAAGCTAAAATTGTTGAAATTTTGTCCATTTTGTCCTCTTTCTGAAAAAGGATATAAAATCGGACTAGTTTGTGACATCATAAAATCAAAAATTGTGAATACACTGCTTTGACACTATAATATTTTCTGTTAATTCATATTTCTCATACAATTTATTGAATTCAGCACATTTCAGGAAGTTTTCAAAATATGACTTTTGTGGGGGCAAATACATGTATATGTAATATACCGCATATAGTTCTTTCTCATTAAAGCCCGAGATAATAAGCACCGCCCTCAGATTTACCTGGTCTGTATCTCCCTGTCAATCAAATAATTTAAGGTCCATCATTGGGTACTTGAAATTGATTGACATTTAGCTACTTGTCCCTGTGTATATCTCTTTTGACCTTGTTTGACACGCGTCGCCATCATCAAATTAACTTTCGGTCTTCTAATGTTTACCGTTAAATCACAATCGTAAACAATTTCAGCTTGATTATAATTAATCAATTATCTGTTTTACAAACATCTCTGTGAGTCATTGTATTTCAATTAAGGGGGGGACCTATGTCCGAAAAGTCTTTATGTGAAATTTTCAAAACTTTGACATTTCTTTTCTGACCACTTTAGGTATTAAAAACAATACCTTTATATGCTTATTTTTACACAGGAGCATGTGCAAAAACAGTGTGAAATGCTAAAAATACAGACACGTGCAAAAAGTATTCGGTCAAAATGGCGGCGTGTTTACACTTACAACGGTAGTATGAAAAAATCTACAAGCTAAATTTTCAACGAAAATGCTTTGAAAATTAAAACAATCAACTACTTACGATTTAATACTTCGTGAGGTGTCCTTTGAGTCTGATTACATTTAGAATCCGCTTTGGAATGGAGCCATACAAGCTTTTAATGTAAGCAGGCGTGATGCTGGTCCATATGCGCCGAATTTCCTCGATCAAATTGTCTTTCGATTTTATTGCAGCAGTGCGTGACTGAAGTTTTCTTTTTATGTGTAACCAAACATTCTCTATTATATTCAAGTCTGGTGACTGAGCAGGCCAACTTAAACAGTTAATTCGATTTCTAGCTACATACTCTTGAGTTGACCTGGCTCGGTGGACGGGTGCGTTGTCATCCTGAAAATAATAGCCGTTTTGAGAAAAATGTCTAGCGAGAACAGGCCATAGGTTTTCCTCTAAGATATCTTGGTATTTAACAGCATTGATATTTCCTTCTACTGGCGTCATAGTTCCAACACCCTCCCTGCAAATGCACCCCCATATCATAACTTCGTATTTCGCTTGAGGTGTCCTCTGCTGAACAAGGTCCGGCCTCCATCCTTCGTCCTTTTTTCTCCAAATTCTTATCCTTTCATCATGACCCATTATTTTACTCTCATCTGAAAAAAAAACACGCTTCCAGTCCTTTACTGACCATCGTCTTTTCCCCCGACACCAAGCGAGCCGCTTCTTACGATTCACCTCTTTAATAACCAGTTTCTTCTTAGAAATACTTCTCCGGTAGTTATTTTTGTGTAAATTATGCTGTACTGTCCTTTTACTAACTGGTTCTGGTCTTTCCTCGTTAAATTTTGCGGTAATATCAGAAAGTGAACATCTACGATTTGTTTTCACAATCCTCTCTAACTTCCGATAGTCACGGGGCCCGATTTTTGGAGGTCGGCCGCTTCTGGGTTTGTTTTCAACAGATCCCGTGGGGTACTACTAAACAGAGTACGATAGAGTACGATAGAGTACTTTAGAGTACGCTAGAAAAATTATGTTATTTAATACAATTCAATTGTTTATTTATGTATATACAACTTGATTACACATTATTATAAACTAATATTGCAATATTTGATTCAAATATTTGTTTTTAGCGATATTTTGACACGAAATAACATCCAAAATTAAACGCATTAAAGATTACGGTATATCTATAGCTAATACCCAAATTTCGATTACTATGTTGTTTCATACTTTCTTTCTAAAGACTTGCATCTAAATTTTATCTAATAATATTAAATTAATTGCAAGTGTAAATATTTTTTTCACATTCACAACGAGACATTTTAACGTTTCAGTTAAATTAGATCGGGATCAAACGATCAAACAATCAACCATAAACTGAAATCAAAAATTGAAATAACTCCTAAAATACAGAAAACATACAATGTTTTTTTTAATATATACTGTAGACGTCTTTAATTTCACGTGTCTAAAATTTCACGGTTTGTTAGAAAGTTACCTTTCACGGTGGTTAAAATTTCACGGAGAATTGTTTGTAAATATTCAGGTACTATGACTGTGTATAGGTAGAAATGACGTAAAATAATAATCACGATGGTTTAAAGTTCGCGGAAAATTCTTAAATCGTGAACATAGTGAAATTAAAAACACCGTAATGTTTTCCACTTCTACAGTATTCAATATGTTAAACTAAAGTAGAAAAACATATAAAAAGTAATCTAATTGCATTAAATTATAAAATATTACTAGCGTACTCTATCGTACTCTATCGTACTCTGTTTAGTAGGACCGGATCCCGTGTCACAAAATTTTTTACAAACGTCTATAACTGTTGATTTAGGTACAGTCATTTAGGGTATTTCGGGTCACTTTTTACATTTCTACTGCAAATAATTAAACAAACAAGATTATTAATGGTTCCTGGGTATTATTAAGAAGTTTATTGTTTGATTGAAAAGACTTATGAACCAAATTGCGATTATCTTTGATAAAACGACCGCAGTGGGAGCTTTATCTAGACCTCCAATAGACCTTTTTAATAATATATGCAGACATGCGCAGAAGTACTTCCGAGTGGATAAAACACGAGTCGTTCTGCGCACCATTCCACGCTTCATTTTCGTCAAAAGTATTTTGAAAAAAAATCGTCGTACAGTTTTGTTTAATTGATATTTGCTTATTAAACTGAATAAAATTGGTTTGTAATATGTTTTTTGTTATTTATATCAATTCATGTACGAGTGACAAACATTTCCTGTTTATCGTTACCTTGTTTACATTGGCAACGAGTATGGCGACCCGCGAAAACTTGAAAAAAACAAATGTTAGTATATTACGCACCATTGCAGCTGATCTGGGGATCAATTCAACAAAAAGAAAGAAGGATGATCTCATATGTGATATATTGTCTCGCCAAACGCCATCAGAACTATTAACTCCAGTTGTGCAATTACCATCCTCTGTTAATCCCACCGACGTTCAATTCAAGGAAAACTTGCCCCCTTTTAATTCAGTTCATTATCAGATAATTACCAACGATCTTAAACCTCCCATCATTTCGTTTTCTACAGTCTATGATTTTATGATAACCAGGCGCAGGCAGGGGGATCAAGGCATCCAAATGCAAAACTTCAAAGGACTAGATAAGTCTGTGAAGCATTTTGATGCTGGTGATGTCCAGGATATGTGTATTGCACGAGTAAGTTGATAATATTATATGAAAACCCAGTCTTTGTTAAAAAAAATCTTTTTCAAGAGCAACATGCAACTTACAAAGAGCCATAGCTGCGTTACGGCTGACCAAAGTATTAAAAAGGAAATAACCTGTTTCTAATTATAGATCTAAACATGTACCTTTTCAATTCAAGATGCACTTACATGCATGTAATCATTTGTAGACCAATGTTATATTTTCATAGTTTCACATTTGTTATATGACA